AGGAGTGGATTGAGAGGTGGTCTCGGCGGCCACAGTTGTTGGTTGCTTTCTTTTTTTTTTTTTGAACGGAGGAAATCCTGCTGAAAGGAGAGGAGGAGGAGGAGGAGGAGGAGGAGGAGGAGGAGGAGGAGGAGGAGGAGGAGGAGAGGGCGGGGGTAGAACTGTTGACGTTTCTTAAATGGATGGGAGACGGACGGGCCGTTTCCATCGGAACACCCACCCCTGCCCAGCCGGGCTTTGTGCCTCCTCGGTGCAGTAGGACGAGCCCGGGAGAGAAAGAGACACAGAGAGAGACGCGCAGAGAGAGGTAAGGAACGCCCCGATCAGACAAGTAGAAAAGGGGGCTGGGGGCTCGGGCTAGGTGAATGCCAGCTGCTGGTGGGGTGTGTGTGTGTGTGTGTGTGTGTGTGTGTGCGCGCGCGCGCGGGGGGGTGCGTAGGAGTGATTGTGCTTGTATGTGTGCGAGCGCGGGAAGTGGGGAGCACTGGTGCGTGTGCTAGGGGCTGAGTGTGGTGTGTCTGTGCTGCCCTGAGCAGGAGTGGGGTGGGTGTGTACCGTTGAAGGCGGGGGGAGTGAGTGTGGTGTGGGCGTGTGTGTTGTGTGTTGTGTCGTGGGGACCGCGCAGTGGGTGTGCTGTTGTGGGAGGAGTGTGGGTGGGTGTGTTGTGGAAGGAGGGGTGGTGTGTGTGTGTGTGTGTGTGTGTGTGTTTCATCAAGAGGCTATCAGCACAGTGGGTGTGTGTGTGGAAGGTGGGGAGAGGTGATTAGTGGGATGCAGTGATATGTGTATGTGTATGTGTTTGTGTAAGGTAGTTGGGGAGTAAGCGCGGTGTCTCTGCTGTAAATGTATTGCGAGGAGGGGGACAGAAAATGCGGGAGGGCTTCTGTAGGGGGAGGGAGCCACAGGTAAGCGGGTGGGAGGTGGGGTGGCTGGGCTGCAAACCCGTTCTCACGTTAGCAGATCACAGATTGTCGCGCACTAAAGAACCCAGGGGCTGACAAGCGCTTTTCCCCCATCTCTCATTCGACTGTAGACTGAGAACGAGGCTGGCGGAGGAGGGAGGGGGGTGGAGGGAGCGGGCCGCTGGGCCGACGGTAGTGCGCAGGCGCCAGGCGTGCAGGAAGTGTCCTCCGCACCGGCCTAAGATGCCGGGGCTCTTCACCTCGCGGCTGGTCGTCCCTTCCCCCTCCTTCCCCTCCCCCCCGCCGCGGGCCGTGGGGCTCTCCAGCATTTGGAGCCAGGGGTCGGGGGCCCCTGGAGTGCTCGGCTGCGCGCGGGCCGGCGGGCGAGCTCCAGCTCGAGTTCAGGGCGCCTCAGACGTCACGGGGCGGGAGAGGAACTGGGCTCTAGAAGCCTTTCCCGACTCCATCAAAGCCTGAGCCCTGGAGCGTGCGGAGGCGCCGCCGCCGCTCCGGGGATGGGTTGGGCCCAGCGCGTTGTGCCCAGTCCCCGGCAGGGCCCGGCCTCGGGCTATTCCGACGGCCCCTTCTTAGGGAGGCCTCCTTCCCGAGCCTCGGTTTGTGCTTTAGGGAAGGAAGGGAGAGCGTGCAAACAGACGTGAAACGGGCCTGAAATAGCCTAGGCCAGGGATCCAAAACCCGCTGTGGGCTTGCAGGCTGCCGGGAGAGGCCCTCGCTCCAAGCTGCCCGGGCCTGGCCCGCGCCCAGGACGCCGCCAATCCGGAGCGTTAGTGCAACGTCTCCAACCGAGGCCGCAGGGGGAAGGAGAGAAAGCGACGGAGTGAATTAATTTTCGCATCTTTTTTGGAAGCCTCGGGAAGCAGAGGTGGTTGGGGGTGGTGGGGGCGGGGTGGGAGAGGAGGAAGGAAAGTGTGGAGATCCGAGCTTTCCCAAGTATTTTCTACGATGTCGTTTGCATTTCTGTGGTAAAAATCAATAAAATATTCATGCAGAGCTTGTTATCCCCGCGAGGCGCTTTGTTGGCGGTGGGAGATGAATAAGACTTGGGGCCTCTTGCCTTCAGGGCTCTTAGAGTCTAGTAATGGAGATAAGACATCCTCTGGAGAAAAGTTAGGGAGCTATTCCAGGCGGTTCGTGAGCTGGGCTGCAAGAAAGGCCTATCCAGTGACTGACAGGTTTAGGGTAGCAGGATGGGAAGGATTTCCAGGTTACAACATGCATTTTCCTGGGGCTTTTTGGAAGATTTTCCCCTAACCCCTGACCTCCACTGCCAGGAGTCCTTAAAGCCAAAGGCGTATGTCAAAAACACAAACGTGCACGCGCGGGCGCGCTCAAACACACGCCCCTTCGAATTCACATCCCTGGACACAGAAACCGATCCTTCACAAACAGCATCTGAAGGAAGCCTTTCCAGCGTCTGATTTTTTAAGTACCCTGTGCAGGATACACAACGTTCCCCTGATCTTTTTTTTTTTCCCTTCTTATTTTCTGCCAGTCTTGTGTAGAAATCTCAAGGCTATACTTCTATTTGCAATACATTTTCATTGCTGCTAGTGAGCTACTGGGACCTCTCTGACGTCATAGAATTACGTTTAAAAATAATTTGGTGTATTCTTTTCAAGGGGGGAAACAATTAGGGGCCTGTACGGGTTGTATTTGCTGCCTCTTTTTACTCCCCTTGCTCCTTTGTTTTCATTAAGATTTGCAAGTTTTTGTGGAAACAAGTCCAGTCCCAGAGTGACCTCCTCTTCTTGCTGCCTTTGGAGAGAGGATGGCTGGATGACTGTGGTGGGCTTTTCTAAACGTGGAAAGGGTGCGACAACCTTCGAGAAGCAGGGGTAGAAAAGGCCTATCATGCTGAACTCACTAAGCAATTTCTGGGAATAGACACGATTACTGCTGACTGACAGTCTGGAAATGCAGTCACCTGCGGCACCCACAGGATGTAAGAGGATGGGGCATTTAATACCAGCATAATTTCTCCTGCCACAGAAAAGGACTGACTTAGAAATTAAAGCCAGATCAGCCTGCAGCTCCTAGGAGCTGGGACATGGGGCATTCAGGAGATAAAGATTTCACAAGGCAGGGGAAAAGACACTGAAGTTAGAGTGGGGAGACTGGGTTCTAGTAACCATGTAGCCTCCAACCAAGTCACTTCTCTCTTGTACCTCAGTTTACTCCTTTGTAAGTGGGGGTGGAATATAAGTGGAAGGGGGTATGCCAGATAATCTCTATGGTCCAACTCAAGCATTCTATATGCCACTTCAGAATGTCAAAAGATCCATGATTGTGAAATAATTATGATACCTGCTGATAAAGGACTTGGTTGTATTTGCTCTGACTCTCCTTTTTTTTTTTCTTTTACCCCTCCTTTATTTTTACTCAGAAAGCCAGTTTTCACTGAATACCCATCAATGTGGGTACATCCTAAACTAGTGAAGATTATAATGACTTCTGTGCCTCAGGGAACAATTAGATGGGTTGTTTTTGGTGAGGAGTCTCTCTGAACTTGGGCTGGTCCTCAGACAATGGACAGTCTACTACTAGGCCTTTAACCAAAGCCTTTCCAACTTGAAGGAACCTGCCAGAGTTTGCAGAACCTTCTAGAACCCAGGACCACCTCTATGCCACAAGTGAAACAAGGGAGTAGAATTTCTTTTTTTTTTTTAGGCAATTGGGATTAAGTGACTTGCCCAGGGTCACACAGCTAGTAAGTGTCAAGTGTTTTGTCTGAGGCCGGGAGGGAGTAGAATTTCAATGGAGAATCCTATAGTTTACTCCCCAATGGTTCAATGTTCATTAAAAAAAGTACTTACTTTTTATTATTGTACTAGGCACTAGGAAAGATACAAGAGAAGTATATAATTAAGTTCCTGCCCTCAAGGAACTTAGAATCTGGTTGAGAAGACATGACACATGCGCGCTAGAGTGCACACACGAAACAGAACAATTAGAGATAAATTTATCATCATCTCATAGGTCCTTAGAAATCATGTAGCTAAGTTCTACTTCCCCATCTTCCCATATTACAGATGAAGAAACTTAGTTCTAGAGCGGTAGAGTGACTATCCTCACTCTTGGTAAATGGCTCATCTGGGCTTTGAACTCAGGGCCTTCTGCCTTTATACCCAACATTCCACTGTGGTGTGCTATGCTGGGGGCTAAATTAAATTGTGGGGTGAAGACTCAGTTCTACAAGAGTTCAAGGAAGAGAGAGTTTATGGTCGAGTGGAAAGGATTTTTATGGAGGAATTGGAAAGCTCAAGGAACAGATAGGAAAGGAGACAAAGATATTCCAAGTTGGCCTTCAACAGAAGAGATATTGGTCTTACTAGAAATAAGGGAAAGAAGACCTTGTAGGAATAGCAGTGGGAGATTTGGTTGGATAGGTGAGGTAAGGCCAGGCCTCAGGCGATTATTTCTCTGGATTTAACCGTAGCTAATCTGGAGTGTGTCATTCCCTGCCTCAAGAAGCTTTTATAGCTCCCCATTGTGTTGAAGTTAAAATGCAAACTCCTCTATTTGGCATTTAAAGCCTTTCACAGCTCTGTTCCAGCCTACCTCTTCAGGCTTTTTGCACATAACTCTTTTTCACATACTACCACTCCATTTAAACTGCCCAGCTTGCTCTTCCATTTCCCCATACCCTTTTATAGTCTATCCTTCATGCCAGGAACACTATCCGTTCTCACCTCCATCTCTTCATCTCCCAGCTCCCTTGGAGGCTGAGCTCAGGCCTCCCTCCTTCAAGCAGCTTTTCCTCCTTCTCTGAAACCACCTTGTTTTATTTTGTATCTCTCCTATATTTACTTATCTCTGAACGTGTTACATTCCTCTCTACCTTCCTCTCTCCCCTCAGGAGAATGTAAGCCCTTTGAGGACAGGGGACTGTCTCACTTTTGAATTTATATGCCCAGCTCCTAGCAGATTGTAAGTACTTAATAAATGCTTGTTGACCAATTGAATATTACCACACACAATCACACACACACACACACACACACACACACACACACACACACAAATATTCTCCTGTTCTTATTGCGTATAACCACAGCCAAAAATTCTTCTTGCCTGATGGATTTATAGGTACAAATTAGGCAACCCGGTAGATCACAAGAAGGAGGTAGACAGAGCAATATTTCCAGGGGAAAATCAGTACTTTACATATTTAGCTCCATTCCCTGAAGAGTCCTTAAGGTTCATCTGCACAGTAAGCAGCAGAAACCAGTGCCCCTGTTGGACAGAGAAGATTGAGGATTACAGAAGGGAAAATTAAGGTTACATGGAGTCAATGAGAGACTCATACAGTCATTCATCAGAATTTTATTGGGCATTTATGACATACAAAGTACTATGCTAGGTGCTTTAGGGAATACAAAGCATAGAGCAAGTCCCTACCCTCTAGCAGCTTACAGCTTCATAGAGGTGATAAGACATACGCAAACAATTATGGTACAGTAAGAGAGGGACAGAGTTTGGAGGATGAATAAATCAACTCTGGCTTGTGGAGAAGTGGTATTCTGATGGCATTGAAGCTGGACCTTAAAGGCCAGGTAAGAATTGGACATTTGGAAAAGTAGGAAAGTACAACTTAGGCAGAGGGGAGCCAGAGGATCTCATGCCTATGTACCTCACCAGCAGACAATTGCCTTCATGTCCCTAGCATACATACCACCTAGGGGAAACCTTTACAATTGACCTAAGAGGACCTGATTTAAAGATTCAAGGAATACTGGAGAATTCCCAAATTTAGGGGGCAGGGCAAGGACCGGGAGACAAAAGGAGTAGCAGTAGAAAGAAGACCTGGAGAATACAGTATCATAGAAACCAAAGGAAAAGAAAATTTTAAGAGGAGGGGTGGTCACCTGTGTCAAAAACTACACAAAGGTCAAGGAGTGTGAAGGCTAAGACTAAGACATTGGATATGACAATTTGGAGAGCACCAATGAATTTGGAGGGAGCAGTATCTGGAGAGTAGGGGGCAGAGGCTTGATGTCAAGGAATTGGAGAGTAAGTGGGTGATGAGGAAGCAAAGGCAGTTAAGGGCAGAATACTTTTTGGGTTTTTTTTGTTTGTTTGTTTTTTTCTTTTTGAATTTTATTAATTTATTTTGATTTATCAACAATCACTTCCATGTGCTTTTGAGTTGAAAATTTTTCTCCCCCTTCCTCCCCCCCACGCTCCCCAAGATGGCACACAATCTGATATAGGCTTTACATTTACATACCCATTAAACATATTTTCACATTAGTGAAGTTGTAAGTAAAAATTAAAACCAATAGGAGGAACCATCAGAAAGATGAAACGGGCAGGTGCAGTGGATAGAGCATCGGCCCTGAAGTCAGGAGGACCTGAGTTCAAATCTGACCTCAGACCAAACACTTCACACTTACTAATTGTGTGACTCTGGGCAAGTCACTTAACCCCAATTGCCTAAAAAAGAAAAACAAACAAACAAAAAAAGATGAAACAAAACTCAACAGAAGGTAAAATAAGTGATAGTGATTCGACTTCCATAGTTCCTTTTTTGGATGTGGACAGCATTTTCCATCCTGAGGCCTCTGGAGATGTCTTAGATCCTCGTAATGCTGAGAAGGGTTCAGTTTAATAATATTAGTCATTGCATAACGTGGCTGTTATTGTGTACAAAGTCCTCTTGGTTCTGCTCACTTCACTCAGCATCAGACCATATAAGTCTTTCCAGGTTTTTCTGAAGTCAGCCTGTTCATCATTTCTTATAGCACAATAGTATTCCATTACATTCATATACCACAACTTGCTCAGCCATTCCCCAATTGATGGGCATTCTCTCAATTTCCAATTCTTTGCCACCACAAAAAGAGCTGCTATGAATATTTTTGTACATGTGGGTCCTTTTCCCATTTGTGTGATCTCTTTGGGATATAGCCCTAGAAGTGCTATTGCTGGATCAAAGGGTATGCACATTTTTGTAGCCTTTTGGGCATAGTTCCAAATTGTTCTCCAAAATGGTTGGATCATTTCACAACTCCACCAACAATGTATTAGTGTTCCAATTTTCCCACATCTTCTCCAACATTTATCATTTTCCTGTTTTGTCATGTTGGCCAATCTGATAGGTGTGATGTGTACCTCAGAGTTGTTTTGATTTGCATTTCTCTAATCAATAATGATTTAGAGCATTTTTTCATATGACTATAGATGGCTTTAATTTCTTCATCTGAGAACTGCCTGTTCATATCCTTTGACCATTTATCAATTGGGCAAGGGCTTGTGTTCTTATAAATTTGTCTTAATTCTCTATATATTTTAGAAATGAGGCCTTTATCAGAGAGACTGGTTGTAAAAATTCTTTCCCAATTTTCTACCTTCCTTCTAATCTTAGTTGCATTGGCTTTATTTGTGCAAAAACTTTTCAATTTAATGTCATCAAAATGATCCATTTTGCTTTTCATAATGTTCTCTATCTCCTGTTTGGTCATGAATTCTTCTGTTCTCCATAGATCTGATAGGTAAACTATTCCTTGTTCTCCCAGTTTACTTATGGTATCAGCCTTTATATCTAAGTCATGAACCCATTTTGACTTTATTTTGGTATATGATGTGAGATTTGGGTCTATGCCTAGTTTGGCAGAATACTTTTTGAAAAGGGGACAGTATTTTGAAAGTAGGATGGTAGTTTGAATGGATGGCAGGGTCAAGGGAAGAGTCAGGACTTACTCATGAATCCTAGGCTAGACCGTTGTCTAGGCTGAATCCTTACTCGTAGGCTAGTCCGTTGTCTCTTCTGGTACCCTTTAAAGCAGTAGATGAGGCTTACATACAATTTCAATGCTACCTAATTTTGGCTAGTCCCCAGGTATAGGTTGTCTCTAAAACAGTTGGCTCTAGGAAAGAGATTTGAAGGGAGAAGGGAAGAAAGGAGATTGCCAGAGAGATATTGTCATTGTGGGAGAGTCAGGAAGATCATTGGGCTCCTCCATCGGGCATTTATGCCCTTTGTAGTCTGTCTCCAACCTACCTTTCCAACTTGATCATCCACTTATCCTCTACAGGAGCTATCCATGTCAGTCAAATTGATTTTTATCATATAGAATGATTTTCACTCTCCTTTCTACTTAACTGAACTCTAGCCATCCTACAGGCCCTAAATGTAGTCTCCCCTTCATCACGAAGCCTTCCCTGAGAAGCCCACAGGGAACCCCTCCAGACTCCTATAGTACTCTTTTATTTTTGACCTACTCATTTTTTATGCATCAGATACTGCCTTAGTTACTTTCCCGTAATATTTTCTCTCCCTAAGGGGAAGGTGAGGGAATAAACATTTATATACTGCCTGCTCTGTGCCAGGCACTGTGCTAGGCACTTTTTAAATATCTCATTTGATCCTCACAACTACCCTGCAAAATAGGTGCTATTATTATCTTCACTTTATAGTTGAGGAAACTGAGGAAAATAGAAGTTACATAACTTGTCCAGTAACCTATTAACCACAGAAGTATATCTGAACTGGCATCTTCTTGACTCCAGACCGAGCACTCTATATACACTGCATCTTCTACCTGCCCAGCTAACCTATAAATTTCTTGAAGATAAGGACTATATTATCTTACTCAATTTAGTTAAATGTTTAATAAACATATGCCAAGCAATCTACTAGGCACTTTGAGCAATATAAAAATGAATTCAATACAGCTCCTGCCATCAAAGAGCTTATAGTCTGGTAGGAATCAAGCAAATATACAAATGAATATAATAAAACTAAAAAATATTGTGTGAATCATAAGAGATGCAAAATTCTATTGAGGTCTGTTAGAGTGAAACAGACCACATCTAGTTGATGATATCAGGAAAGACTTGAAGAAGAAAGTATCATTTGCTGTGGGCTTTGCAAGTATGGGTAGAATTTTGAAGATATAAATGGGGGAAAATATTCTAAACAGAAGGAACAGCACAAGCAAAGGTATGGAGGCAAGAGAGCAATAAGATTGTGTTTAGAGAGCATATCCAGCTTTGCTAGAGTGGCGAATACATGAGGAAGACTGAAATGATAAGCTAGGAACAGACGGCGGAGGCCTTGAATACTAGACTAATGAGTTTGAATTGTATTTGGTAGACAAGTGATTAGGAAGTTTTGAACAGATGAGTGATGTGACTTGTAAAAAGTAGTTGGAAATAGAGGAAGAGAAGAGTAAAAGATGACTTTGTAGTTTAAGCTTGAGTGACTGCCAAAATGGTGATGACAGAAACAAGTCAGGGGGAGAAGCCGGTTTGGGAAGAAAGGTGAGCTTTGCATTCCTTCTTGGTCTTTAAAACCTAGCTCAAATCATCCTCCTTCCCTTTAGTTTTCATTGATCCCCCGAGGAGAAAGTGATCTTTTCTTCCCCCAACCTTGTATAGCGCTTTATGCCTCTTTTGTACTTTTAGTTTATTCTATTCTATAATACTATTGTTAATATATTTGCTGCATATTTAGCACCCCCAGTTCACACTGGCGATGGCAGTTTGGGTCCCCAGAGAGAATGTTATTACTAGTATTTCTAGAGTGCTAGGGGTAACCTTGAGGGTGACTCTTCTAATCACTAGCTTATAAGCCCCCACTAGTGTGTTTCTGCTTGACAATCAGCCAGTAGACTCAATTCTTTAGCAAAGGTATTTACTCAAATGCTACAACAAAAGCGGTAGTTACAAAGTATTTTTCCCCAAAAAAGGAACACTCTCCCCCAAATGCACACTGAGTCCATGAGTTGAGGAGTGGATATAAACTTAGAGTATAGTGGTAGTGAGGCATTCACATAAAGAACACATGTAGCCACAGCAACTCACAACTCTAGAACTGCAGTCCTGATGTGCTTTCTTTCTCTGGAGAATCTTCATAATGTTTGCCTGAAGAGTGTGGTATTGGTGATAAGTTATGCCATTGTTCAAGACTTGTTCATTACCAGACAACGGGCTGATTTCTCACAGGGAATTGTGTCTCAGGTAGACAGTTCAGTTTGCTGCAGGGCTGGGTCAAATAGGTTGCTTGTCTACTTTGCCCATCAGTAGGTTGGCTGCTGCCAGAATGGGCCCAGTAGGTTGCTCTATTTTGGGGCAGCTCCTGCTGTTGCTGGATGGGCTATGACAGGCAGATCACTCAGCTGCTGAGCTCTTCTCAGGGTGTTCCATCTCTGCTGGCCAGGTCAATCCACAGGACTCCCTGGGCTTGTTCTTTGATGGGCAGCCACAGTCTTTCACTCCTGGCTCTGTTAGGT